TCCCTTGCCTTCAGTGTTTGCATTTTACACACCCTTGAATATTAATTTTACTCACAGCTGTTCCTTATAAATTTCCTGGGTCATATCTGAAAAATCAGTAACAAGCTGCTCTGGGTTCCACAACCAGACCCTTAGACAAGGGTCTAAGAATCAATGCTGAAAGAAGAAAACTTGGGACACTCTTCACTTTATTCATTTTTCTAGTTTGATAATGCTTCAGTCAAATGTTAGGCCATCTAAATTCTGGACAGTTATACAGGACAAACATTTTGATATCCATTCCATGTTTAAACAAAAAGGATTTTATCAGACTAAAACATTTCAGCCCTCAGGAGGCTAACTTATGTTGCCTTGGCAGAAAACAAGGGATTATCATCATCTAAAATGATAAGATAGAAGACATCACTAATGCTCAAAATTTTGTGAAATAACAGATCTAACTAGGAGACATACTCAGATGCATCCTGCAGCCAAATAAGGTACATAATGCTCCTCAGCAAAATTCCCTATCCCACCTACAAGACTTGCCCTTTCTTCAAACTACAGCTGTGCTCACCTCCAATACATCAAAATAAAGAAGGAAAAATTGCTAAATTGCTTTCTTACATGATATGCATGTAAGAAACAAATATTTCATAGATATATACAAGGAAAAAAAATTCCTGCCCACTCTCCTTGAGGGCTTAAAGGTGAAACACAGGTTCAACATACACCAGTACTTTTATGTGGAAGCACGTGTGTTAAGGGCACGATGAAAGCAACTTGGATACCTCTCTGCATAAGGAAGCGTATGCAGAAAATTATGTAAAGGTACAACAAGCTGGCTTATGATCGTTAAATTAAGGAAGTTTGTGTGGTTTATGCAATTCATGTTTAGCAAGACTTGGATTTTTATGTCTATTCTTAATAAAAAAAGTCAGTTTAGATTCTTTGAAGATTGATGGCACCTACGTAGAAAATTGTATTTATTCTACATAAATGAGCAAACTTTAACAAATAAAAGCTAAGTCTAGATTGGGGAAAAAAACCCCAAACAAACAAAAAACCAAGAAAAGTGTGGAAATAGCACAGAACTTTTTTTTCTTCTGTTGAAAATATTTTTACATCCTGGAGTTTAAGTCAAGTGCATAATCATAAGCATGACATTTTCTTCTGTCCACATATCTTCACACATCTATACTGTTAGCACATGGAGCCACATTCTTCCTTTTCTTATCTAGAAGATAATCACTGAAGTTCAGACCCTATTTCAGGATCTCAAGATCAATCTTTTAGACAACTCATATAAAAAGTTGATGTTCACATACTGTTGCAGTCAGTCTCCTATCTCCCCTGTTCAAGTCTTCCTCTGCTACAAATTAGCAACTACTACAACAATTGAAGGGCAGAAACAACCCCTACAATTTCTGTACATTTTCAGTAAAAAAATTTTGCTCCCTCTGGTGGAAGCAGTGAAAACAATGATTATTCTCTGAACTCCCCTAACCCCACAGTGACCAAAAAGCCAAAAAGAAAGCTTTGCTCTCCCAGACTCATTGTCAATGCAAATTTAAATCTTTCCAATTTAATGACAGGTAAGCTGACACATCAAGATAAGTCATTTATCAATAGAAAATCAGCAAGGTAGTGATAGAATCGGAAACAAACCAAAGTCCAACACATTATTTGTTGGGCTTCACCTTAGAGAAAGAAGAAAGAAGCAGAGGCATAAATTTTACATGAGAACAGACAGGAAAAATATAAAGCTAGATGACAGATGTAACTACAATAAAATAATTCAAATTGCCACCTCAATGCATTAGGCAATATGTGATACTCTTGCAGCCAAGTTTTTATGGTAAACCTTCCCATACTTCTCTTGGGAAGTAGTCCAGGTTGGGAAGGACATGGCTACTTTTATTCCTTCTGTCCCCTGAGAAGGCACAGGGAATATGAAGTACATTAATATTTATTCACTCATTCATTAACTTTAAGGACCTAATGTGCAACAGCTGTTGACAGAATGCTTCCTTTCCTGAGCAGCCAATTTACATTCTCCAAGATGTGAACAGAAACAGTTTTTACCAGGCTTTTCACTCCCAAGCAGTGATTATTTTTTCCTACTACAAAATACAGAAGAAAGGTACATTTGTTCTAGGCTCTTGCTGACACCAAGCATCTTTCCTTTCATCGAATGACTGAAAACAACAACAGAAAAACTGGCCCAAGAAGCCTAAAAAGAACAGATTAACTTTTCCAAGTAGCACTTTAGGTTAACTTGGTGCAAGACAAAACAAGAGACAAAGAACGAGTTAACTGCACAATAAGTTGTTGGGAGATACACACAGAAGAAGAAAACAAGTTCTTCCCCATTCCTTTAGCTACCCAGTACTCTAGTTCCAAGAAAAAATGTCCAGCAAGTTGTTAGAGCAACAAAGCTTTCCTTTTGCAACGCAGCTGGGCACATGGAGAAGACTGCTGTGTCAAATGGCTCTGATGGAGCTCACCCTTCCTATTTTGCACTGACCTCCAACTAGCACATAACCAACACCCTTCTCAAATCTCTGTCTCTAGTTCTGCCAAGCATTAGGTAAAAAAGTAATCAATTTCTCTCACACAGAGATGTGGATCTGATTGATTAATCTTAAAGATAGCAACTTCACCTTGAACTTAAATTTCTACTTCTATGCACTGCCAAATAGGGAAGGCTTTCCATGCATTTGCTTAAGCACCAGAGAGTAAGGCAACATGGACACATGTTACCTCTATTTGTCTTCCAAGAGTTATTTGCCTTAGCAGGATAATTAGATAGTAATGGCTTAAATCTAAATCACAATTTAAGCAATATTTTGGATAAAGATTAGTATCTATTTGTGGTCAAAACTGAAACTGAATGGAGAAAAAACCCCCTACTGATCTCCAGCAGTTGAGTGCTGGTATTATACCAGAGTGCCTATTTCAAGCAGCTGCTATATTGGTATGACTGTAGTCATAGTACAGATTTGGAGCAAGTAGTAGAAACAATGTACTAACCAAAAACCTTCATTCTTCTATTATTTTTTCAAGGCAGTGCTACATTTTCATTCTGAATATGCTTATAGTATCACCAAATGTCAAACATAATCTCTGAGCAAATACACCAAAGAGTATCAGAACTTTCTTTTTCTTCCCTGACCTCATTATCTCCTTCACTCCCTTTGATTTGATTACACTGAACACAATTTACATTCCTTCTGTATTACAAACTTACTATCAAGATAGAATCTTGAGCTGAGGTTGCAAAAAACCTGGCTTTTTTTAAATCAGGTTCTTAACAGATATGTTCTCCTCAGGGCAGGAAAATTTTGAAGCTTTTCAATTCATACTCCAGTCACAATCAGTGCTCTTCATACACAACCGGACCTATATTATGTACAGTCTGAAAACAATGTATGTCTGACTTCCAGCTGCTTCTAACAAACTTTCTAAACTAGCCACCCTCCAGTGTGATTACTCCCAAAAGCTCCAACAGAGCTCAAAGTCTACTTTATAAAAACTTCTTGGCTCTACAAGAGCATCTGTTGCAAAACATTCAATACAGGGAAGTTTTCCGGGCTTTGATAAAAAGTAAGTTTATCATCATCAAAATGTTGTACCCACAATTTAGAAACAATTTTGGCAGTAGTCACACCATGTAATAAACAATTAAATTTATGACTACTACTATGAGTATAAAATTATACACCCCCAACATCATGCCATAAAAAGACCGTCAACTCTGACGTGTTTTACAGTATCATGTAGATGCTGCACGTTTTATGGAAATAACCACATGGCACCTGGCAAGAGCAGCTCACCACCTGCAGGTAGGAGGCACCAAGGCATGAGGTGCCATCGATCCCAGCCACAGGTATCATTGCAAGGGGTGCACAGTATCTATTCCATGCCAGCAAGCTCAATTTCAACTTGCCTGTTCTACCAGTTTTCTAGAAGGTACTTTTTCATGTATATCCTTAACCATCCTTCCATTCAAACAAGTAGCTGGGGAATGGAGGAAGAAAAAAGAAGAATGTGTAACTCAATCACTTCCAAAATACTTTCACTAGGCATGCTCCTTCCTCTGTATTGCATTTCCAGTTACTTCTCTCACTCATCAGGTGTATTTTGTAAAAACAAGACATCAAAGTCTCCCTCTACTGAAGCACAAACTGTTTTCCTTGATGTGTTTCACTCATACGTACATGAATGAAACATTAAACAAAAACAGAAATTCCTAACATGAAATTTCTTGGTGCTACAAAATTTATATGTATTTATGTATTCCCAAATACATAAATATTCTGTAGATTTCTGAGGTCTAGACCACTTCCCCCATAAACAAACACTCCGGTCCAGCCCCAGTGATTAAACTAGGCAAACCTCAGTTTCCCAATCTTATTTTGTAATCTACTGATATTTTGTGAAGACACCAGGATTAAAGCCTTCAGGAATTTTTGTATCACTTGGACAATAGATACCACAGAAAGGTTCTGCCTACAGGCACATAGGAATTCCCAGCAGCATTGTCTGCGGCGCACATTATTTAACACGGCGCGTAAACCCCCCTGGCAGGCGCATCCAGGCGCAGCGCGCTGCTTTGCATTTGCAATTATTACCCAACCTTTACATCCCTCGAACCGATCCCGGCCCCACTCCCAGCTGCGGATCCACATCTGGCCGGCTGACGATGCCAACAAGTTGGGGCGAGGCAGGGCCGGGGCGGGCAGGGTTGGATGCGGGCGGGATGCTGGACCAGCCGGGGCGGGCGCACCTGCCCGCGAAGCGCGGCCGCCGCCCCGGCGCCCCCCCGCCCGCGGGTGCGGAGAGGAGCCGCGGCCGCCCCGCGCTCCGGGCGCCGCCCGCCCCGGCCCGGCCCCGCCGATGGATGGAGGGGCCGCGGGGGACCGGGGCGAGGCAGCACGGCGCGGAGCGGGGGCGCGGTGCGGTCCCTCCCCGGCGAGCCCGCGGGAGCGGCGGCGGGGCGGGCGCCTCCCCATCCTCACCTGGTCGACGGGCAGGCGCACGGCGTTGCTGAGGGGCTGCAGCAGCGTGGAGCCCGTGGTGCTGGTGGCCATGGCGAGGCCGGGGCGCCGCTCCCCACCCGGGCTCCCGCGGCGGCGGCGGCAACAACAGCGGCGCGAGCGGCCCCAGCCCCGCACGGCGCCGTGACAACAAGGGGCGGGCGCGGCCCCGCCGATGACTGGCAGCGCCGGTGGCCAATCGCTGCGCGGCGCCGCGGCGGAGTGACGGGCGGGCTCGCCCAATCCCCGCCCCCCGGCGGGCTGGGCGGGACGAGGCGGCGCAGCGGCCGCCGCTCCGCGCTGAGGGTGGGAGGGCGCTGCGCGCACCGCGCAGGTACCGCGCAGGGCCCGGCGCTGTCTCACCCGGTCCCAGCCTGCGCTAGGGGACGTTCTGCTGGGACCTTCTTCGCAGGACGAGCTATTAGACATTGGAATGGGCTGCCCAAGTGGTGGAGTCGCCGTCCCTGGAGGTGTTAAGGGAAAGACCGCTCAGTGCTGGTCTAGTTCACTTAGTGGCGCTCGCTCGTAGGGGGGACCCGATGGTCTCGGAGTCTCTTCCTGCCTGACTCTGTGATTCCCAGCGCTGACCTGCGCCCAGGTGCGCGGGATGGGCGCTGAGGGCGCGGGTGGGTGATGGATGCGGGCACCTCATAGGAAGCGACACTTCCCTGCGCGGGGCGCGCACACAGGGACAGCCGGACAGGGAGCGCGGTGCTGGCGGGGTCGGTGGCCCAGGTGGCCCCTGAGGAGGTGTCTGTCGCTGGGGGTAGCCCAGACCGTGTGGGTGCAGATAACTGTTGAGGTAATGAAGAGCTCAGCCCGTCTGGCTCCCAACCATCGATCGCTCTTTCTCCCAGACGGGCCCACGGGCCCCCAGCAGCGGCGTACGCAGAGCGGGATGAGCGATGGATACACACTGGGCATGAGGGTGGCCTGGAGCCCTGCAGAAGTGGCACAAAAAATGGGTAAAGAAATCCTGTTTTTAAAGCCACCCATGAACTTAAGGAAGTCTGTCTATCATGCTCTAAGATACAGTTTTTAGTTTATTATTGGCCTATTTCTTAAATACAGAACCGTGAAATGATAAAAGCACCAGTTCTTCAGTGGGTTCAATCTAGCAGTGCTGTTTCCTTAAAGAAAGCAAGGAGTGATGTGATGGCCATAGTACTGAATTGTGCACAGCACAACTCTTCCACCTGTCCAGTCAGCATTACTCAGTGTGAAACAAAGCACTTCAGTGAAGGCAGCACTTCAGGGAAATGCAGAAAACTCTACCAGATGAGCTTATGCAGTAGGCTACTTATTAAGCCATTCTGGTTTAGTGCCCTGCCTGCTATTTACATTAGAGCTTTCTGTAGATTTTTTTTCCCCTATGAAATAACTGAAATATTAATTTTTCTAAAAGACCATATTTTCGTGGTGAAAGAGGTTGCAAAGGAATATTCTGGTCTTATCTATAAAACTGCTCAAGATCCCTGTGTTTCTTGAGATAAAACTGCAAGTTCTTTCTTGCATTTTATCAAACCTTTCTTTATAATTTTTGTATGCTGCACCTCTAAACCACCATACCATCAGAAATTTGCCCTCAACACAAAAAATGTCACCATTTTAAGCATGTAAAAGATGAAATGCATTATCCATTGTCCTGCTAGCAGTCTGAGTGTGTCTGGATTAGTGGCCAGGTGTAGTGATTTACATAGCCATTTAAATTCATGGCTAATGCTAATTGCTAATAGCAGGAAAATGGAGGTAAGTGTAATTATCTGAAAACACACGTTGTTTCTCTTGCTGAATTGCAGACCACACTCTGTAGTTATGTTTTAGCTTGTGGTAAGGTCTTTTGTCTGAATTTAAAGAGACTGGTTAATAGGTGCAAATAAGTGGTTTTAATTAGATTGCTTCACTGCATGACAGGCAATTACAATTGAGGTAGCATCTGCAGAAGCAATAGCATAATGTTCTTGTGGTAAAGCAAAAAAGCTGCTTTCAGAAAGGGGGAAAAACCCCAAACTTTTCCCAATTAATTCTGAATCAGTCTCTTAAATCTAAACCTGCAAATTATATATGTGTGTGAATAACACCATAGGAGTGCAGTGTCTCTAGGTTCAGTACAGTCTCCATTACACTATACATATGTATATATGTATATGAAGACTCAGCTCACTTTATCTGATTCTCTTTTATTAAGATTCATATCTACACACAGAAATCTTTGGAAATCTTAACCTAAACATTCTCAAATGAAGCCACAAAAGAGCTGCTTTAGAAAAGGCTGATACCTAATTCTGAATCAGTCTAATCAAAAGCAATTATTCTGGTGCATCTGTATAAATCTATGGAGGTGCCATTACTGACACTTTGATGAAATACTGGCAGCAAAGAATTGACCTGCTGAACAAACTCCTTATTTCCAATTAACAAAAGAAACAAACTCATGATATCACAGCACAAGTGTTGGTTGGATTTTAAACACAATGTTTTATTTTTCTGGTAACTTTTATTCTTTTGTGAGTATTCTTGCAATGCTCAGAAAATAGCAAAAATATTCTTTCCTGTATGACTCCTAGGAGTTCATCAGTCAAGCATACATCTATAATGTGTATCACAATATTATAAAAAATAGTTTGCACCTATGGCATTAAGTTACATAGTTATGTCTTTCACAAGTTTTCAGTGGAGTAATGTGGTGCTTTGAGAAGACTTCCTTGTGCTCTTATTTAGGAAGGTGTGTGTTAGGGAGCACAACATCACAGAAATACATCTTGAAAGCAGTTACAACATAATAGTCTCTTTGTTGAACCCCTCCCTTGGTGGGGCAGGTTGGTTACATGGAAGAACAAAAGGTGTCCTGCCCCACAGAGCTGAAAATCGAAGTTTGCAATTAGAAGTGAGGTGTACAAATGTTGCTCAGAAGAAAGTAGCAGGAAAATAAGGGATTTCTGACAGAGAAAATGTGGCTTGTCTTTTGATGTCTGCTGTATAAACGTATGGTAAGGGCTGTCACTGGCACTGCAGTAAAACTAGGTCTTCTGCTTTTCCTCTTTTTTTCTTTGAAAGAAGGTTTTATTACAGATGTTTTCAGAGAACTTCCTGCCTGTGTGAGAATTCTGAGAGTGGGAAGGTGAAGCATTGTCTGGTGACAGGTAACGTTCTGCATCACATCGACACAATGACAGTGCAGTTGGTCCTGAAAGGTAAATGATGCTGTGAAAAGGCAGGCTGGTGAGTGATACACAGAAGCTGATATACTGTGAGTAGTGAATCTGTAAAATTTCATGTGAATTGGGCAGTTTTCAATAAACATGACTTACATTCCTACTGTTTGAAATATTTTCATGTAAGAAAACAAGAAATTATTCTTCCACAAAGAAAATTCTTTCCACCAAAGGCTGTCAGAATGCAGGAGGGTGTGGTGATTTAGGTAATTCCAGGAGAGTGACTTGGCATACCATGAACAACTTCTGATGTTCTTCTTCTGATTAAGTTTTTATGGTCCCCTAAATGCTTTTAGTTCTTGGGTACAAAAAATCACAAAGACATCTCAGCCCTACAGAGGTTCCTCAATCGGTCAGAATGAAGTAACAAACACCAGAGGTTTCTTTGTGTATTTGAATGACACTGTAAGATTCTCAGATGCTAACAGTACCAGTCTTCCCATATGACACTCTACAACAGAATAACAAAAGGAGAAGCACTGTGGCAGGGGACAGGAAGGGATAAAGTTCCTAGATGCACCATTGTGTGCAGCTCTTGTTCCTCTTTGTTTGATAAGGCCATTCTAGGAACACGTTCACAGTCAGAAAATAGGAACAATTACTGAAACTCCTTCTAACAAAATAAATGAAAAGGAAAATGAGTTTCAGTATTAGAGAGTCGACCACTTTTGCACAGTAAAGTCTTATTTAAGACTTTCCTATCTAGCTTGCTTAGCCTGAAATATTTGAGACTTCATTCCAAAGAGAAGAATGTTTCTGCAAAAGCTGATGCCAGTCAAATGGAAATACTTTTAATTAAAAAATCTGCTGTAAAAATTTAGGTATTTGTATTCTTGCCTCCCCTTCCTGCAAAGCAGTCTTTTGCTATATCTTTAAATATTCTGCACAGCACAGTAAACCTCACATGCATCAGATGTTTTCTGCAATTATATAATCTTTAATTAGCCATTTCAGCTATTTTAGTAATTTAGTGCTCTGTGTAATTCCTTAATATTTGTTAGAATTCTTCATGATGATACTGTTAATTGCTAGTTCAAGTAATATTTGTTTGTCTCTCTCTACTTACGAGGAAAAAATATAAATTCCTTTCCACAGCTTAGATACAAGACAGATAAGTCTCCCTTTGGCTCTTAGCAGAATGCTTTGATTTCTGATTTTTGACTTATTTTAGTCTTAGAGCTGCTCTGAGAGTGAACAACATTCTCTGTTATTAAGACAGCAATCAGTTTCAATCATATAATTTATTTAGATCAATTTTGTTTCTTCTAAGTGCTTACATCTTAGCAATTCTCTTATGGGGAAATGCATCAGTGTCTCAAAAACATAGAGTCATGTTCAGCTCAGACCATTTTGGTTTTCAATTACAGCACAAAGTCTGTTAACAAAATCAAGCAGAGCTTCTAAAGAAGGATGAGTGAAAGCTGACTAAAGCTTACTGTTTAGCTGTAAATATCAACTCTTATGTACAGATCTTAGAAGTTGTAATTTATTTGCTAAAGGAACTTCCTGCTTTCATGACAAGGTTAATCCAACTGACTTCAACATAAGATACTCTGATAAACGAGTTACCTTTTAAAAGTAAGTTCTACCAAGAAATTTTTATGGAGAAACAATCCAAACTGATAGTGTACAGCATTTCAAAATGTAATAACCAGTGCCACAGGCAGTTGGGGTTTTGTTGTCACTCTGATAATTGAAAAGTTCAGGGAACAGAAACTCTTTATTCAGAACTGAAATAAAAGCAATGAACTTCAAAGCTAGGTTATGAGTTTAAGAGCAGCTGTTTTGAGCTTAATTAAATATTTATTATAGACTGTGGGAGACACAGTGGATGGGAGAGGCTGGTGATAACCTTGCAAGGAACCTACTACTATAAAACAGTAGTAAAAAACTGGCAAATCTACCTTTTTCATT